CTGTACCTGTGGACATCGGATTGTGAACTGATAATACATACATTAAGTTTTATTATTTTTTTGTTTACTGCTTCCCATGATGTTATGTTTTCTCCATTCTCTATGTATGATAATCGAGATTCCTACACCGTAGGTACGCATCACAACATTCTGCCGCCTAATCTAGCCATATCCCGGAAATCTGACCAATCAAATTCGATGTGGCTATTCTGAGCGCCATAATGTTACTACATGGGCTAGAGCAGGGGTCAGAATGTCGGGACGGCCTGTCGCACTTGTCGGTTGGAAGTGCCGCATGTTCTGTTTATTTCTCGCTCAGTGCTCTATTGAAATTTATACGAAGATATTTTAATATTTATTTATGATGGAGGGATGCGATAAAACTACCCACAATGTTTGTTTATTCTAATGTGAGTGAAAACACTCATCGTGCAAACTTGTTATCCGAAAAACGTAATTATTTTCAAAATGCATTTGCGAATACTCCAAGCTATAGTGTCGAATAAAGGTATTTAATGGCTCAGCTAGCTTTTGGAGAGAATGTCCAGTCAAAAGATTTTTATATGCAATTTGCAGTTGCAAATCAAAGCATGACTGAATATGTGGATGAAGGTCCTGTAAATTTTACTACTGGGGCCTATAACATAAACATTACAAGTTGAACAAGTCTACAAATAAATTATACAAGTGTAGATATTCTATAACACAAAGTAATTTGTAGTTACTAGCGGGGCATTGGTAGTTACGGAACTTTCTGCACAATTGTAGAATCTTTCTATAACATAAACATAACCACTACCCTTCCCAAGTAGCACATAATATGGGGTAAACATCGTTTTTCAGTTGGGCCAATATTTATTCATTTTTGTTGCTAAATCAACACAGTACCAATATTGGGGCAACGTTAGTTTTAACTATGTGGAAACAATATTCAAAAATAATCTTATACCAATATTGTTTTCATAGATTAAATAACTTTTCAGTAATTTGAATATTGACCCAAGACTTCTCACTACAATAATGATTTATGAAATATTGGCCTAATCTTACATTTTATATTATCGAAACAATATTGTAATATAATATTAATTCAATATTGGCATTCAATTTTTTATTGATATTTAAATTCACTTCAAAAACTTTGTACACCCAATATTTATTTTCAATTTTTTCACAATATTGATACTCTTTGAAAAGCCCAATGAAGAGCCAATATTTACATACTAATTTTTACCAAGGTTAGATTTTCTGAATTGAAAATGTTGGTCCAATATAGGGTATTAAATGTGCGCACTTGGTGTGCCGACCAAAAAATAGATGGAGACTCTGTCTTCACTTTACCTGTCTTAAACCTGGCTCCGGGATGAAGCCAAAAATTGGTTGTTTTCTCTCTGCGGGACCCTGGCAGGACTTAACCGTGCTGATGAGTTGTGATACAGCAAAACGGGTTCACGGATGGTCCGGCAGAGAGAAAACACTTCTTAGTCGGTCCTTATAATTGGTCCGTTACCTTAATTAAATATAATATAAAGCCAAGATTTACATACGTCTTCGGGCCAATATTGGTAATTTCAATTGGTTCTATATTGCATAAAGTTCTTGATATGATATTGATTATTTCCTTTTGCGCCAACATTTGGTTACGTTATTGTACCAACGTTGGTATTTGTTTTTGGGTATATATTGACATACGTTCTTGGACAAATATTGCAGAATGTCCACATCTTTTATTGGGCCAACATAGAGAATCTGACTTGGGCCAATAAATCGTAGTTATTGTCCCAATATTGGCCCAACATGGGAGTGCTGCTTGGGTTGTACACTTGTGTTACGACATTGTCAACAATTGTAAAGAATTTCCTACCTATCCTAAACGTTAGGTAGATTCAGTGTAGTGAGATCTTCCACCGTGAACGTACCATTTTACTTTTACTGTCTATATTATGTGGTCAAGAGATTCAGAAAGTGATCACGAAAATTATCGTGCAGTGTATCGGTACCGAGAGAGAATTAACTTTGGCATACTGCCAGACGGAGAATTTGTGGAAAGGTTTAGACTCAATCGAATTCAGTGTGAAACTCTTCGAGATATAGGACTAGCAATCGCTAATCGAACGAATGGATGGTATGGATTGTCACCATTACAGAAACTACTTATTGCTCTGCATTGGTTTGGAAATGGAGGGCAGTACCATGGGGTATGTGATACGCATGGGGTGTCAAAGATGACCGTTTGCAGATGTGTTCACGAAGTTGTTGGTGCCGTGAACGAAATAAATTTTGATCAAATAATTCGATAGTTCGACAATACAGCGAACGTCATAGAACGCTTTCATGATTTGGCAGGATTTCCTGAAGTTTGTGGATCTATAGATGGAATCCTCATAAATATCGACGCCCCCACGAATAATGAAACTGCATACGTCGACCGCCATGGAAAACATTCAATCAATTTCATGGCCGTGTGTGGTCCTGACTTGGTCTTGAAGTTTTATTATGTAAGTAGAAACTGGCCCGGAAGTGTGCACGATGCGCGGGTCCTTCGTAATACTTCTCTGAGTCGTAGAATGGAAAACGGTTGGAGACCTCATGCTAATGCGGTAATTCTCGGAGATTCCGCTTATCCTTTACGTGAATGGTTAATTCCACCAACCCATGACAATCTGATGAACCCAGCACCCAACCGCTTTCAACAGAGCTCACAAACGGACTCGGCGCTATATAGAAAACGCTTTCGGCGTATTGAAAGGAAATTTTCCATGTTTGAACCACCTACGACTTGATCCAGTCTTCGCAACCAATATTTTTAAATGTTGTGCGATATTGTGTGATATTACAAAAAACGGAAAAGCACGGAAATAACCCAATTGTCTATAAGCAACGTCTGTGCAAGTTTATAATATTTCACTAGTAGCTACAAGTCTATGAAATAATATTGTGTTACAAAAAATCGGGGTACTTGCAGTAATAAGTGAATTACCTACTAATAACTTGTAGACTTGTTACAATTATAAGCATTGTGTTATAGGCTCCTGGTAACTTAAATAATAGTTTAATTTCTGATGATAATATTGAAAATCGGCAACCAGCAACCATTAAGCGATCTTCAACAAAAGGAAAACACTAGTGAATATTTTTTTGCATCACTTATCATTTTGATGAAGCAAAATCATACACAATTTGGCACTACTGCACAAAGTTCTAGAAGATATTGTGTCAAGACTTAGTTCAATTAAAACCAAAAGTGCATGGGAAACTTTTTTAAATACAGCTGGAATGAAATTGTTCAAAAACGTGTACCTAGTCTTTCAAAATTTAGAACTTAAATTGTTAATTATTAGGTATTCAGATTTTGCAAAATCTAAATTTATTGACCCCTTATATCCATAATGGATATATTCCTCCATTTCAATCAAAAAATTAAGAATTTAGACAATCTATTCATGAAAAAGAATCCATAGGGAACATAAATAAAATCTAAATTTATTTACATTACATTATGCCTGCACCCAAAATAGCCCCATCGAATTTGATTGGTCAGGTTTCCAAGCTATGGCTAGATTGGGTAGCAGAATGTTTTGATGCTCATCGTACCATAGTATTGGTTGATTAGCATTGAAAATTGGACCATAGGCCTGACTTCACACACTTGTGTCCAAGTGATTATTTGCCAAAATATATTATGCGGCCATTTAAACAGGAACAAGAGGTTATTTAGCGTGGATAAATGCCAAAGTAGAGTTGCGGTACACGGATATTTGGCTATCGTGACATGTACAGTGGGAATTATTGCAATTGACACATACTATACTTTTTTGAGCAACCGTCCGTGAAATGAGCTTTCGCGGCCGCCACACCATTACGTGCAAAATGTGTCAAATCCTTGTCAAATCCATGCAGCCGCAAGTGGACTCAGCGATAACTTTTCTCTACGTACGCTAAAAACAGTGGCGTAGCCAGCCTTGCGGGGCGGAGGGGGCAAACATATAGGGGGCGCATAGTTCTTTTTTTGTGGTGGGGGGGGAGGGGGGGGGCGGGAGAGGATAACAAATGAATATTTGTATACCTTTGAAATATTTGTTTATGGGGTAAAATATTAAAGAAGGCGCCGCCGGAGGCGGAAAATTTCCTGGGGTTCCACGCCGAAAAACATTTACCATAAGCCTTACAAGAAATAATGTGTGGACATGCCGTTAACTTCAAAAAATCCTTCCGGGCGCCTTAAAAACTAGAACAAATTCGGAAAAATCCGGACGGATGACAGCCCCACGGCCCCCACCCATCCCATTAACCCATAGTTTAATAAACAAATACCACATCAATCATCAAAACAGAAACTATCACCTTTCCTTTGATTGAACTGAACCATTTGCCGACAATGCCGACTTACGATAAAGAATGAAGGGTGAAAGGGTCAATAAAATAAATAATTGCTTTTGTCTTTAAAGTGCGGTAGGGGCGCCATTCATGTAGGGGCGGGGGGGGCCGTCGCCCCCCCTGCCCCCCTGCTGGCTACGCCACTGGCTAAAAAGGCATTTTGCGGCCTTTGTATACAAATAACCATTTTATCATCCCTCGTATTAAGACAAAATTCAAATGGATTTCGATTATCGATGGCTGCTCTCGATCGCGTGTGAGCAACCGAACCCCTCTTTTTTTCTTGCCAAAAGTCCTGAAATTTGTATTTCTTCTTTAAAATCGTTTTTTACAAATTATACCCTGCAGTTACGGCGGGAAAGTACCTACTAATTTTTATCTTTTATTTATAGAATAAAACTATAAATAACAGCCCTTGTAAGTCTATTATTTCAAATTTTCTCTTTACTCGAGCAAAAAAAAAGCATTTTGACATATTACGTGGGATGTTTCTATAGTGTGTGTCAATTGCAATGATTCTGACTGTACCTATATGTTCATTTCGGCGGATGACTGAATTCGACATGTGTTTTCAATATTCATATAGCTAGTATAATTTGTTGATAAAAAATAGTATATTGAAGGTACTACCTATTGTCCAGTAGTTTGGGACGCTTGGTCATGTTTTCCTAGAACACCTGTAAATACAGTAGCGGCTCTACCTTGTAGCAGCCAAGCTTACCAATCTCCTGATAAGGTGTGCACCTGTAAGTACCGATAATATTTTTTCCTGAGTACTTATAACTGATGTTTTTTTATAGTAGAAAGCAAAAAAGAATGTATTTGGAACGGAACCCTAGCTCTATGGAATCAACAGACAAATTATACAGCTTGCGCCATAGCTCCTGTATATTTACGACGTTACAACTACCATGTGGTAGCGCTCATTGTCTGTATAGCTTGGTCCCTACCAGCAATAATTATATTCTTGAGTATTCCTACCTTTAGAGAAACAACTAGAGTGATACTTCATCGAAATCTTTTGATAGCGATTGTTGTGAGAAATATACTAACAATTACATCAAGAAAAACTATTATAATTGATGCCCTATTATCACCATCTCTAAGCAATCATTTGATGGAAAAAAATACAGTGCTGTGCAGAATATTGTCATTTTTTGGAAGTGCTGCAACTAGTTCAACGTATGCTTGTATGTTGGTTGATGGTTACTACTTACATAAAATGATTGTGAGGACTTTTGCTAAGGAACCTCAAGTGATCAATTTATATATTGTGGTTGCAGGTAAGAATAATTTTTAAGGACGTTTTCTCGTAACATTGATGCGTTGACTTGATGAACGATATAAAAAATTAATATTTACGATCAAATAAATTATTGCGTTGGGTGTGTTGCAAGAAAAGCATTTTTTTGTCATACAGTACTACGAAAATAATGCTCTTCTTGTTACTCGTAAAACCTTGATTGGTAGATTGTCAAGTGTAAAGGTAAAAAGTAAAAATATGTTTCTACCTACAAATAATTACAGCCAGATCTTGGCAACAATGTTGATTGATTTCTCAACAGGCTGCAACCATGGCAACTTTTTCAAGGATGCTTCAAAACAGATTGGCTTGACTTTGTTTTGTTAAGAAATTAAAGACTTCCTCCATCTACGTAAAAAAATTAATTCCAATTTTTCCTATCATTTCCGAAAACAAAATAAAAACAAATATTAAAGGTGCCATTTTTTAGGAATCAAATTTACCGATTTCGACAAACACACATTTTTGAGCGAAATAATCTGATTTTTTTCCTGAGATAGGTAGGTACCTACTTCCAACATAATTTCTTCTATGCACATGAAACATCTAGAGTCAAATTTTGCTATATTTTCATTCCAGAGTTAATTAGGGGATCGACTTTCAATTTCTCAAATCGATTGAAACAAATTTTTTTCTGAATACTTCAAACCTTCCTCTATCTATATCAAAAAATTAAATTGTTATCATTATTCTTTTAGTCCTGACATTCCTTCCATCTTTGATATGGGCCACAATAGTAGGAGTCAACGAACGTACGTCATGCTGGACAGTTGATTCACACGGAGAGCAATGGGCTGTTGATAGTTTTCGAGTGATAATTTTATTGATAAACACATTTTTGTTGCTCGATATTATCAGGGTAATGATATCAAAAATGAAACAAGGCGGGACGACAAGACAAACAAAGTAAGTACATATATTAATTATTGGCACAAACATAAAACAAATAGACGCTGATTATCATTTTTGAACCAAAAAAGAGAATGTTTACTCTACTGATTATGTCATTATTTTTATTTCATTTTTTCAGGGCAGCTTTTAGGGCTACTTTGTTCCTGATTCCATTATTTGGGCTTCATATTTTCATAACGGCCAAAAAAGTTGTAATAAATGATACTTGCGTAGCGGAAGATATTTATGATTATTTTCGCTATACCATGGAAGCTAGTCAAGGCGTTTTTGTAGCTCTTCTTTTTTGCTACGCAAACACGGAGGTAAGAAAATTGGAACTTTCGCCTAGTAGAATGTCAAAAAGTAATCTATTGCCAGAGCTAAAAGAAGCAGTTCAAAAATAGTCCCGCAACTCTTTCTCAGATGGGTGGTTATTACTTATCTAGGAACAAAAATTAATGAGTCCTCATTGCATCAAGCCAAAAAAGTTGCTTTAATCAAAAGTTTTATTGTAAAATAAGAATATTCACAATAAAACATTAGAGGTTCAGCCCTAACTCAAAAAAATTTAGAATGCAACTATGATTGTGTTCCCAATCAAAGGGAACTGACTCTCTGATCTCAGAAGTTAGTACCTTGCATTTTATAATATCAAATCCTTTTCATTACCATTAGATTTCTATCACTGTTTGAAATTTGCTCGAAAATAAGTTCCACTATAGAAATCGAGAAAACATATTATTATTTTAGGTTCACAATGAACTTAAAAACGCATTTAGAAAACTTTCCATTCACTTAAATCAAAGATATGGATGGAATATTGGACCCAAAACAAAATCTAGAAGAAGGACAACGACTGCTACCTATGTACAATCCAGAGATTCCAGAAGTGACTTTTAACCTTTTAACTTTTTTTATTTATTAAAATTGGAATATCAAATTTTTGAATAAAAAAATGAGAAAAAAAATTGTGTGTAGGCAGAGTTGTTATATACAGAGTGAGTCCGAAATAAGTGCGCATTTTGTTATGATAGATAGAGTACAGTAGGACAATCACTTTTTGCATAGGTACATATGTCCGCAAACGTCTCGTTAAGAAATTAAAGAATGTTGAATTTTTCGGAAAATTTTGACTTTTCACCTTTAGATTTAAAATGCCTCGAGCGATTGTGTTCAAACTTTCAGAGAATTTTTGCGATGTTCTTAAGCGTCTTTCTGAAAAATTCGTTTGAGTTCCACTTTTCCAGGACCGGAGCTAGAGCGATTCCTATTTTTTTGAAAGAAAATAGTGCTACGCCCCTGGGATTTTTGACGAATTGGAAATTATTTTTTTCTACTACCGTGCGTGAGGTACTCACTTTACGCACTATTCAGAAGACGTAAAATTTCACTTTACACACTAGTGCGTAAAGTTAAAATACTTTAGGCACTAGTGCGTGAAGTATTTGTCTAAATTATTTTTTTACACATTTTATTGGTAGTAGAAAAAAATTTGTATGCAATACGTGTGTGGAGTGAACCTTTTTTCACGAATGTGAATTTTGACGCAAGGAATCGAAGACGGGTGCGACAATTCATATTCGTGAAAAAAGGTTCACTTTACACACTGGTTGCATAAATAGCTACCTATTTTTCTATTACCGTGCATAAAGTATCCACTTTACACACTATTCAGAAGATGCAAAATTTCACTTCACGCACCAGTGCGTAAAGTAATTCACTTCACACACTAGTGCGTACAGTAATGTCAACGACAGATGTCGACACTCTCAATTTAGTATTTTTCTGGTAAATTGGTTGGTTGGTTGATTGAGATGCAGAGTGAACAGTCCGGGTTAGGTGGCCCCAACACTTCAGCCGTCGGCTTACTGTATTGTCCTGTTCGTCTGTTTAGTCAGTGAAAAGTTTCCTGACCTTGATTAGGTTCAGGAGCCTCTTCACCGTGTTACTTTTGGTGAGTTCAGAAATAGGGTCTTCTGGCCCTATATGCCTGTATCTCCACCAGCGTAAAGCCTCACCTTCCAAAATTATGTGTGTGGCGGTTTCATCCTCCTCGTCACAAAGTCTGCATATGGGTTCTTCTTGAAGGGTGCCCATTGTGTGAAGGTGTTTTCTCAGGTTACAGTATCCAGTTATTAGCCTGATTTGATTCCTGTTTAATTGTAGGATCTCTTCAGTAAGTTTAAGTGATGGTTGTTGTACCATTAGCTTACTGTGTCTGAGCTTCAGAAGAGTTTGCCAGTAGGTTTGGTGTTGTCTATACACCCATTGGTTTATTTTTGATCTTACCGATGATTTTGTGGTGCCAATTGCCGCTTCAGGACCAGTATAACTGTTTGCTGATCCTTCTCTTGCCAGAACATCTGCTATTTCATTTCCTTTCAAAGCTGTTGAGTGCTTCGATTGACGCTTGACTGTCTGAGCAGATAAGGATGTTTTTGCCTGTGTATCCACTCCTTAGGTTTTCTCTCAGATAGAAGTCGATTGCATATAGTTCTGCTTGGAATACAGTAGTGTATTCTCCGAGAGGTTGACTGATGTCGCATCTGGGAGTTTGTCCATATAAACCAGACAATTTCTTGTTCAGGTGTTGCCTCGAGGGATTTTTTCGGCATCATAGTCTACCCATGGTTGAAATCGGGTTTGTGATTATTTTGGTGATTGCCGCATATCCATTTGGTTTTGAGTTCCAGGTTTTGTTCAGCTGGAGACGATATGCCTCTTCTTTAACGATAAGGTCAATTGATGGGAGGTTTAGGATCGTTTCCATACTTGCCGTTGGTGTGCTTTTCTTTGCACCGGTAATACACATACATACAAGTCTCTGGATTTTGGCAAGCTCTAGGTTTGCTTATCTTTGGTTTACTTTAGGCCACCATACAAGTGCACCATATGTTATTATTGGTCTTACAACCGTAGTATATCCAGTGTACAACTGACGGTTTTAGTCCCCATGTCAGCTTCATATCTAGGATGCCGCCTAGAAATTTAGCTTCCCTGCCAAACTCCTAGGTTTTTTGGAATAGACTGGGGGCGATTAAGTTTTCCAGATTTATTTTTCTCTTGTAAGGAATGAGTTTTGTTTTGGAGGGGTTGACGCGAAGTTGCTTCCTCGTGCAACATTACTCAATGATTCCTAAGGCGTCGTGAATGAGGTTTAATACCGTCCTGGTAAATCTTCCCTAATGAAAACGACTATGTCATCACCCGCGTAGCCTTGATCGTTTAGTTTCCTTAGAAGTTCATCCATGACTAGATTTCAGAAGAGTGGTGAGAATACTCCGCCCTGTGAGCATCTTTTTATCGCGGTTATTTTATTAGAGGTTTCAACAATAGTCGAATTTATATCCTGTGTTTTAGCATGGATTTGATACATTTGCATGTAGTATCATTAATCGCATCTTGCCCAGCAGCTCTGATTGTGGAGTTGAAGGAGGTGTGGTCAAAGGCTCCTTCTATGTCAAGGAATGCCACTAGTGCGATTTCCTTATTTTCTAGTGAGTTCTCTACTCTTGTCACCAGTTGGTATAGAGCTGATTCGCATGATTTACCTGGTTGCAAGGCATGTTGGTTTTGGCACAGCATATACAAAAACAATCAGCAGGTTAACTCGAGTGACAGCCCGTGTAATAAAGGAATTCATGGTCGGGATGTCACTAGCGGCAATTTTGGGATACGAGACAGGGCCTGATTAACAATAATTTAGGTTTTTTCTTTCGTGTCACAGAGTCGTATTGGCTTTAAATTAACTTATTTATTAATACTTATTTAATTAATACTTAGTTTCTCTGTCACCTTTAACATAAAGGACGATAAGCTGATGGGTCTGTATGACCTGGCCTGAGATGGGTCTCTACCAGGTTTTGGGATAAAGACCGCTTTCACTTCTCTCCAGGACCCAGGACAAGTTCCCAGTCCTCTTTTTTTGCTTCATTACGGAAAGCGGAACGACTTGATGGGTTTCTGCTATTAGGGTTCACTTCGGTGGAGTCTCGAAAATGGGTTTGAAGAAGTAAACTTAATGTTTATTTCCCATTTTTTGTGAAGTGTCCATCAGGTTTTTCAATACTTCCCGTCGGTTCTATCGGACTCTTGGCGAGAATTTTCTGGAAATGGGCTCTTTCGGAAGTGTTTTCAACTTGGCTGCAGAATTTCTTCCAGGATTCTATTTTTGCTTTCCGGATTTCTTTGTTGTATTCTGTTAGGGTTTGCTGATATGATTCCCAATTTCCGGTTTTCTTTGCTTTATTAAAAAGCTTTCGTGTATTTTTCCTGAGCATTTCGAGGTTTGCAAACCACCCGCAAACAAAAGTGATTCTGCGCAGTTTTCATTATATGAGGTTTGGATGGATGCCTGCAAATACCTACCTTCTTTAGGGGAACCCGGGGTAGAACGGGGTACTTAGTGTTTGAAATTTTTTTTTGAGAAAATTTACCGACAGATCCTCAAACTTTTTCTTGGAAACTTTATTTGATGTTATTTCTAATGATTATTACAAAAATATTTCATTATTTCCTTTTCTGTATTTTGCTATTCATTTTTATGACAAAATCTGCACAATTATCCGTTGTGCCCCACCTATGGGATACATTGGGGTACATGTGAGGCAGAATAGAATAGTCGTTTAAAACTTAGTCAACAGTCTTTCTTGATCTCTAACTCTATCTCCTAACTGATGTATTGACTCCGAAGACCATTGTTGTTCCGTTTTTCTTACGTATATTCGAACCATCTAGAAAAAATAATTTATTCAGGATGATAATGGTTAAATTTCGTTTAATACGAAGTAAGTTCTATAGCTACCATCTACAATGTATTTAAAACAGTTTACATCATTAAACAACATCTACAATGAAGTTTAGCAGTTCAACATATACGTGGGGCGGTACATGGTTTACCCCGTTCTGCCTCTCCCCATTCTGCCCCAAGAGCATTCGTCGCCATTGTGACTACATAAACAATTGAAGGGTTTTAACTAATATTTTAATTTTATGGGGAAAAGGTACCCTAAGAGAAGGGCTTTCTACCTATACTACACAAAATGACCGGCTAGTAAAATTAAACATTCACCGTTGTTCGCAAATTCGTCAATTCTTACAGTGGATCTTCTTATAGTAATGCATTTGCGCAACAGCTCTCGAAGGACTACCAACAAGGTCAAATTTGTTGTCAACGTATTCCTAGGGTATAGTGCTGTGAATATATATCGATATGGCAGCATTGCACTAACCCACAAAAATTTGAAACGTGGTACCCCGTTTTACCCTGGTACCCCGTTGTATACCCGGTTCCACTATAGGTATCTGTTCTTGTTTTAATTACCGTTTTATCGTTAGTCATGTTTAGTCTCAGGTCCTGTCGGTATTTCTTCCAGTCAGTGTTACGGAGGTTGCAATATACAGGCTCTGGTTTATCAATATGTTTGATTTCCATCTGAATATACCTATGATCCAAGAAACTCGGTTCATCATCTACCCTCCAGTTACATATTTGAGAGCTTATTCCGAGAGATACCCAAAATGTCTACATTCCGGAATCATCATCACACAAAAAACAGTTTAGTTTTCACTGAACATTATCGATCCTCACGGTGTATATTTAAGAAGGAATAGAAAGTTGGATAATAGACAAGATTTTAATAAAAGACCTAAGTTTCTGTGCCAGGGATATGAAAAAATTAATTCGTAATACTGAAGACATAATGACAAATACAAGATACAAGTGACAAGAGACAAAAATTTAATGACACGTGTATCAATGCTGTAACTCAGAATAAATGGATACAGGATACAATTTACTTGCCATGCCACCACTAGAAATGACCCAAAAGTAATAGCAGGATGTTATATAGAAACTCCAAGTTATCTGAAAAGTTTCCCTCGAACTGTAAGGGCTAAGGGCTGACATAAGTTAGGAAAATGGCTGCGTGGGAGATATGCAGATTTACTTTCATGAAACTGCGGTAGTTCAAAATACCGACGCTTACACTCTACCACCCTTATTTATTGAAACAGCCGTTATAACCAGAGAATCGAGTCATGGTGGTCTATCTTGAGAAAACTCTGTGGTCAATACTGGATGATTG